GATCTTAGGTAAAAATTATTGTTACTAGTTTGTTTTATAAGGCTGAGGCTTCTGGCTAAGAAGTTAAGTTTACTGCTGAGATATTTGTTACAACTATTATTGCTAAATAAATTTTTATGCTGGAGTTTGCTAATGTTAGGCTTACTAATTAATAGTGGCATGATTTAATTAGCCGTTATTTTAAGTTTGCAAATGCTATTAATTTTACTACGGATAGATTGATTATTAATTATAAGTTGGTAAATTATTCTCTTTTGGTGGATATTAATATATTTGAGGTTAATTTGATTGTTGATAAGTTATTTAATTCTAAATATTCTAATTGTAGTTACTTGAGAAAGGATTTTGATTTTAATACTATTGTTGTGGAGGAACGTACTACAATGGCTGCTGATACTAAACATGCTATTATTGAAGTCTGTAGGGATCTGAGTAGTTATATTATTGGTAATTAATCTAGCCATATGGCATTTATGGCTAATAAGAGGCATAGTTATTAATTTAGGAGTTATAGGGGTTATTCGGCCTAATGTTATTTTAATTTAGCCAGTTTTGATTCTACATATTGTATTACTGCTATTGATACGAGTAGGGCATTTATTAAACAGCTAGTTTTGGAAAAGGTGTTTGGAATTCAGTCTATGGATTGCTATTAAGAGCAAGCTGCTTAGTAAAATGATTTGAATTATCTTTATTAGGCATGTTATTAATTTAACTCTACTCCTTTTAATCAATTTCTGTATTTTCCTTTACTACAAATGAAAGATTTTCAGTTGTGCTTTGAAGCTAGCTTTTCTATTCTGTTGCTCCAAATACATTGCTTCTCTGATCTTTAGGATATCTGTATAAGCAACTTTTACAAATCTTTTTACCTAAATTAAATCTTTTTCTGGTGTATTATCTAGAGCACTTAAGACAAGTATGGAGTTCGTCTTTAGGATTAATTACTTCTGATTTTTAAACCGCAGATGCTAGAGGAATTGGAGATTTAATTTGAGGTTAACTAATATCTGGAGGTAGCATAGATTTATTTTAGAATAGGAGTTTATTTTTTTCCAGTAATTCCATCATTTCCTTTTGCTTTTAAAATTCTTTAAATTGATTCACAATCTATATATCTTTCTCTGAGGGTGGTTACAGTGATGCTACAGTTGCTAAAGATATTGGAGTTTGAGATTTGGCTTCCTCGTTTGTCTAATCGTTTAATTTTTAGTTCTCAATAAGCTACTAAACTTGATTTTACAATTGTTCTTATTCATGCATCTTTTCCTTTTCAACGTTTTATTCCTCTTAAGTTTTTGAATTATTATCATCTTTCTACTAACCTTTTTCTTCTTCTTTTTGGTCTTCGTTATTCATAAATTTTATGAATGGTGAATCTGTTTTATACTTGCAAACTAAAAAATGATTTTCATAATTAACTTGTTGCTTCAAGGATTCATAATCCTCACCCAAAACTCTTGAATAGTATCTTTTCTCTTTTATTTCTATACGCCTTTAAATTCTCAAATTGTATCGATTCATCTACACGTTTTCAATGTTATAGTCAATAGCATTTTATAATATATCTTCAATAGCATCTAGCTTATGCTTTTTTATTTGAGTTTTGGATCTAAATTTATTCTCAGTTAGCTGTTGCTGCTAGCATTTTTAAGTTTAGCAATGATCAGCTTCTTTTAAATACTCAATAACAATTGATGAATCATTTTGAAATATCCCTGTTTTCTCTATGTTTTCGCTTACATATCTATTTTCGTATTCTTAAAAATCGATCTTCAATTGCTAGCACTTCTTTTTAAAGAGATCTTCATATCTTTTGATTCTATTGTGAAATCTTCTCTCTGCATTCTTATCTCTATCAATCTCGAACATTTTTCCATTCTACCTTGAACAATAAAACTCATTTACTTTTAAGTCAAAGCAATCTTCACAAATGCCTAGAGGCAGATCTTCTTTCTTATCTTCAATTTATTTCTCTTCAGTAGCGTTTTATTTAATTACTTCATCAAGGATTTATTATTCTGAACATATTCTTTTAGTTCTTGCTCTCGATAATTTCTTTTATGGTACTTCAGGTACATTATCATCTTTTGGTGGATCTTAAATAATTTTTGTTTAAACCTCTTCGACTTTGGAGACTTAATCTATTTTATCAACCTAAACTTGAATAATCTATTCTACTTCATCTTCCTTAATTTCATTATTTTATTTTTCTTCTGGCTATAACAACTCTTCTGGCTCATCAATTGAAGCTGCAAGCTATTATAGTTCTGCTATTTATTCTTATTTAGTGGTCTTTCTGGAACTTACATGGCCTTAGAATTTAATTTAAAACACCTCTTTTTATTTAGTTGGTCTACCTCTTTTTCTTAATAATTTGGGCTCCTCTTAAACCTCAAGCTTTTCAGGAACATACTCTTGTTTAACTTCCTTAACGATAGATTTTTATGATTGAACTTTTTTAACTCACTCTGATTTAATATTTTTATTAGAATTTTCAAGAGATTTTTCCTTACTTTA